CAGCTATGAGGAACTGCAGAGGTGGTGTATATATGAGGAACAGAACAAAGAATGTGCTAATGAGCTGATATGGAGCAGGTGTGGATAAAAGGAACTAGAAGGGAGCAAAGTATATAGGAAACAGGCACAAGAGGGCAACAGAGAGTAACACACAAACAAAACACTGGCAGAAAGCAACTACAAAGACACAAAATTACAGAAACTAAAAATAAACCTAAATAAAGGGCAGAACCCTGACAAAAATAGCCAATAGCTCATAGGATTATTTTTTATAAAGTATATTTTTCTTTTGAATAGCAGTTTATATCTCTCTATTTTCTGTTCCTCTAAAACTGCTAATTATCTACTCCATAACAAGCTACGTATGTAGCACAGAATACTGTTGGATCTGTTAGCAATTGGTTAGGGAGTTTTCAATATTAAACAAAGGCTTGATATTTATTGTTTGGACCCTCTTATCCCTCGTTAGGGATATCTACTTGATCCTTTTCTGATCACCTCTTAGTTTATCAGTGCATCTCTATCCTCTGCTTGTGTCTTTAACTTTGTCCTGTTAAAGAAAAACGATCCTCATAACTTGTTCATTTCTCACCTTGTGGTTCATGCGACTCCCATCAGCCACTGATGGAAGCTGTATTGACCAACAAACCTTATCACTTATTTTACACTTATTACAACGTCACCCTTTTATTTTATCTTTTTCATATTTTTACTGTGTTGCTGTTTTTTGTGTAGTCATTTGCTTCCTTTTCTCATCAACAAGCTGACATGCACAGAACGAAACAAACCGAATGAATGGTCTTTAGTTTCACATTTGAACTTTACAGAATCTAAATCAACATTGTTGTGTTTGGGGTTTGTTTGCTTTCCTTGTTTTAAGGTTGGGTTAAAGAATTATTTGTTATTTTTTTATTATTATTATTTTGCCTCCCTAAGGACAAATGGAAGACACATCATTTGCTCTTATGGGTTTTCAGTTGTTTAGGAAAGGACTGTGAAATTACGTTGAATCATTTTCAACTCTTTATTTGTCTCCTAATTGTTGTCGGTTTACATTTCTGATACATTATCTTCCTTTTTTCTACCCTAAGATTATTGGGAATTCACCGTCACATGGAAGCCCAGATCGCCAGGACCATTCAGGGAGGAGGCCGGTTCACATCGGCACCCCTCCTCAGCGACGACCCATCCCATCCATTGGTTAGTGAGGTCACCACATACGGCTCTCCACCTGCAGGGCAACTGATGTTTGTGCTATTTATACCATGTGTCTTTCCTGCCAGTATCAGCCGAGCATCTCTTCCATAGAGCTTTAACAACACCACATACAGGCCCCTTTCTTTTTGTTGGGTGTTTGCTCACCCCATAGCAGTCCATCTTCATGAGCTGGATTCACCAAATGCTCACATGCAGTTTTGCTTAAAGGGTTATGGTAAAAACACTCCCTACGCCCGATGTTTTTTTCTCCCAGTGGGTAAACCAGTCTACATGACCGCCCAGTCTGCCCTCAGTGCAAACATTGCTGTTTTACACCCAGTGACTCCAGAGTGAAATCTTGTGATCCTACTGTCTCAGCATGAATGAATGGGCCGTGGTTCTGGGCAGTGTGTGTGAGTGGGGGGGGGATCTCTGATCGTAACATTGTGATTGGTGTCTTCTGTAGAGATCACCATGGACAGTAACAGTGAGGGGAGTGAGGGGAACCTCTCACCCGTCAAGGAGGATGTTTACTATGGCAGTGTAGCTCGGCGCAGGATATGGCGATCTTTGTCCTCTGAGGATCAATATGGTATGTGGTGCAGCTTCTACTTAAGATGGCGATTTGCCTTAACGTTGCCAGAAAAGGGCCCAGAGTCCTTATTGGAAACATATTTGATATTCTTGTGGCTTTTATTCTTGTGCAGGACAGTGAGCTGCTTTGTTAGTAAAGCTTTAGTTGAATAAAGCTGACTGGGGAAGATGAGATTGGCCAGTTTTCCCTTTGCTGGAGAATGAGCATCCCTTTCCTGTATGTGCCCCTGCACCTATAATCCCCAAAAACCCTAACACACCAACTCTCCCCCCCAACCCCGTCCCTCCATATCAAAGCAACTCTCGGTAATGAATCCCCTCCTTGCCTTCACAGCAGCCATTATCTTTTCCTTCTTCCTCCCCGCCTCTATAGGACTGTAGATACTTCCTTCTATTCATTTTTGCATGACTCCCTTGACAAACAGTGAGAAGGAAAGACAGTATTGAATGAACTCCCAATTGTACATGCATTAACTCTGCCGCCATCTAAATCAAAGATCATTTATCTCCCCCATGATGTATCTCGGATGCAGTTATTAGTTAGCTAGAGTTGCCGTCTGCCATTGAGACATTTAACATGGTGATCCATGAAATGCTTGAAGAACTGATATCAGGTTCATCCCTTCCCCCTCACTGTCCCTGATATCTGCGTTGCCAGAAACCAACGGAGCATTTGATTTGTTACCCTCCCACTGGAACACGCCCCATTCGCCTGTCCTCTGCCACACGTTGCTTTCAGATGTAGCCTATATGCATCACATTATGCCTGCATATGATTTGTGCAAGAACGCTTCCTGCATCACATGTAGTCCAGAGAAAGCATGCTTGTCGATCAGCCTCTGTGAGATAACGCAGTGAAACAGCAATGATTAGTTGTACATTGTTTCCTTGTGTCTGTATGCGTCATTCCTTTGCTTCCTATAAAAACTGCTTGTGTCCTTTCTGTGTTTGTGCTGTTGTCTTTTTTTTTGTTGTCTTTTGTGGTGTTTGATTACTGACACTCCAGAAAGCAGAGATGTGTGAACTAAGAACCTTGATGTTTTGCAACTGTTATTTTTTTAACCATCCTATAAGTGTCTGAACACAACAGGGGTTTAATAAATCCAAATGAAAATGAATAAACGCTTCATTACGGCATTCGGCCTCTGGCTCTTTCTTCACACGTCTCTTACCCTGTCCCCTGTCAGCAACAAAGAGATATCTTCTGCTCTCATTGCCTCTGCAGCCCACACGGCTGTATAAGGCTGGTAGTAGCAGCAGAGGCCTCCTCTATGTTTCAGACGGCTACGACGGGCGCAGGCACGGCCGGGGACGCCAATCCCCAGATTATTTTGAGGAATCAGAATCGGACGACCTGACCAGAGTGTTTGTGGCTCTGTTCGACTATGACCCTTTGTCCATGTCTCCCAACCCTGATGCCGCGGATGAGGAGTTGCCTTTCAAAGAGGGACAGGTCATTAAGGTAATTTAATAATGATACACAAAATCATCCAAAATTGTATTTTCTTTTTTACTTAAAGGTATAGTGGAGGATGTTCTTTTTCCGGGTGGATCATCAAAATAAGTGGTCCTAATTGTCAATCATAAAAATTTACTTTAGAATGACTTTAGAAAGAGCAAAACACCATTCTTACACTTAACCTGGGGTTAAGAGGATTTAATTAGCATGGGCGTCTTCTGATGTTGGTCCACTGTTTTTTCTAAAGTCTGAAGTCCAAGAAGCATCAGTGATTTTCAATCTCTTCCTGCCTTCACTGCCAAAAGCAGAGACACCTACACTAATGTTACTGCAGCAATAAATGGACATTTTATATTAGAATATATTGAGATGTGCTTTTAGACTAGATCAGCATTAACTTCTCTCTGCCACCTCTGTCTTTAATGCCTCCTCCTATGCAATCAACTTTGATTCAGGTATTTGGCAATAAAGACACAGACGGATTCTACCGGGCGGAGATCAGAGGTCGAGTGGGGTTGATCCCCTGCAACATGGTGTCTGAGATCCAAACAGAAGATGATGAAATGATGGACCAACTCCTCAAACAGGGTTTCCTTCCACTGAACACACCTGTGGAAAAGTTAGGTAGGACTTATTTTTTTTCCTTGCTGTTCTTGCTCTTCCTCTGCTGCTATCTGGCCAACCTGACGCTGCTGCAAGCTGCCTTTTACTGATCTGCTTTTCCTTTCCTCTGTCGCTCAAACCCAAACCTGAAGTGAACTGCGACCGTTTTAAAGATGGACGTTCAATAAATCGCAGGTCCAGAAAGTCCAAAAGAGGTCGGTGTGCACTTAGATGCTCCTCTGTGCTTTTTAGAATTTATTTTGCTCATTGCAATTGCCCCGTTTTTATTTTTCTATCCTTTAAACTTCTATTCTGGCTGTTTGAACTTTGCCTGACTCATACTATTACTATTACAGACATGGTTTATATAAAAAAGACAGATTTTTAAATGTTCTTCCATAAATTTGACTTTATTAATATATTCATAAATCAAGTTAATTAATAAAACATGATATGTGTTTGCATAAGGAATTTAAAATCATTCTTATAATAATCAGGGATGCGGTAAATAAAAGTGGTGCTGAACAAAAAAATGTTCCCCATCAGAAAATCTGTCCTTTGAAGGAGACAAAATTCAGAGGTGGTTAGAGTCTCAATCTGATCTAATTATTTATGTTTTAAAAATAATGCAAAGTTACAAAACATATACAATTACATGCAAATTCTGGTGTTTTTTTTAAATCAGTTGTTTCTTCTAAATCTTTTTTGATTACAAAAAAAAACACAGAAAAGTAAACTGCAGTAAAACATGTGGAAAAAATAAATAAAACCCTCTTAATTCAATAGTACCATTATGTTTATTTAATTACTTTAAAATTTGGTAATTTACTTAGTTAATTTCTGCAATGCATCCCGCTACAATTGAACTAGTGCAACCACTTAGTGCAACAAAACAAAAATAAATAAATAAACGACATATAGTAACTTCATAGCAACAACTGGAGGTGAAAAAAATACTTTTAAATGCAAATAATTTGTTATAAAACTTAAAAATGGATTCTTGTTATGTATATAGGTTAGAATTGGGTAAGTTACTTTGAGTAATAAAATACAGTAAACTGTTTTAAATTTACTTTTCTATTTTCATTTAGCTTCCAAATCATAGCGGGATCAGCAGATAGAAACTAACATTGAAACAATGAAACTTTAGAACAAAATTTAAACTCACTTAAACTGTAGGTGTTTGTTTTTCCAGTGCATTTTGGTAGAAAACTTGTTAATACTTCACTGAGTCAAATTACTCGTCATGGGTAGAGTAGCCAGACATTTTACTGAAGTACTGTATTATGATCCTTATGATACTGTATTATGATACATCATATTTCTACATAAATAAAGGAAGGTAAAATCTAGTAAAACTACTCCTAAAAGTACAGATTTTTCTTTACCAAAAGTTACTCCCGTAAATGTAACTGAGTAGAAAAGAATAACTAGTAAATATACCAAGCTCTGGGAAAAATAGATAAGATATGGTTAAGAACTTGTCCATAAATAATAATGTACAACAACTGGGCAGAGCGTAGTAATAAACAATGTGACAAATTTTGCATCAAGAACTGTTTCCATGTAACTAAATTAACCACCTGACAAGTTTTCTTACAACAAAACTGTCAAGAAACCAGGCAGCTCTAGACTTTTATGTGGTGGCTTTCACGGCTTTTTGCAATTACTGTGTATATCATTGTATTTTGGTTAAGGCTTCAAAGATCTTAACTAAGAAATCTTAAATGGCGTTACTGTTTTTCACAGAAAGAAACAGGCGGAGTGGGCGTCAGTATCCAATGTCAACACGAAGAATGGTGGCCCTGTATGACTACGACCCTCGCGAGAGTTCCCCCAACGTGGATGTTGAGGTAGAGATCTCTAAAAGAAATCTTGATTTTCATTTGTATGTTTTAGTCTTTAACTGCTTTTTAATGTGGTAAAACACAAAAAAGGTTGTCATGTTACATTAGATAGGGGTATTTTCCTATTTATTGTTAGGTTTCTTTGCATGGACAACATTAAATGCAAATGGCTTCCTCTCTGGATGGCTGATGATAAATATATTTATTGATAGAGTATAAAATGCAGATTTTCTCCTCCCAGTTGAAAAGGGATCCAAAAACTAGTTGAACATGTTGGCCCAAATATGATGTAATTTTCCAATTAACTTAACAATTGCCTTTTATCATATGTAAAAACTCATAATTACTTCAAAAACTATATATCCTTTGTTATATGTTTCAACCGTATAGGTCACGACTTTTTTCGCCTGCGCAATGCATGCTGGGTTTATGACGCGCTTAGGTCTGAGTGGAACCCACACAGTAAACAAAGGATTTTTTTTTTTTTCATATTGCCTTTGACTCGTGAAATTTGGATAATGTCACACCATGTAGCTGCCTCAAAGTTTTCATGAGTCGTTATACATTAGATAAAAAAAACTAAAGAGATCAGTTTGTGCTCTATTGTTTACTACTGTATATTACGTCATTAGCAGATGCTAAAATGAAATAATAAACAAATTGGAAGAGAAAGACTGTGTAATGTGACAAAGAAGCATCTTTATGCTTTATAGATCAGCAAAAAATTTTTGATTGATGCTAACAGTAAACAGCCTCTGTTATAAACTGGAGCTCTTTCTCATTACCCAATCCACACCAGAAGCACGATCTGCACCATCAGCTACTTTACCTTTGCGCAACCAGACATATAGTTTTTTACCCCCCAGCTTTTATTGTCATTATACTAACACAAGTACAGAGCAACGAAATGAGCTCTCTGCATTTAACTCACCCCCTTGGGAAGTTAAATGCAGAGAGTTGGTCTTGCTCAGGGACCCAGAGTGTCAGTCTGTGGGAGTGAGGCTTGAACTCATAACCTCTAGATTCCTAGCATAATGCCCAAACCACTAGGCCGCCACTCCACCATCTGACATCTGCTTCACCCTTGATTTTATTTTCTAAAAAATACCTACAATATGTTTTTCCCTCCCCAAAAATAGTAAGTGTACTAAACTATAATGTGTTAAAGGTTAATAATGTATTTCCTGAGAAAATATATTTTTTAAATCGTTTCTGTTTTATCACTTGTTAAAGTTTGGTGAAGGTTAGTTGAGGACCCAAATGCAGAGATGAGGAGGAAGAGATAAGTTTTGCTGATTTAATAAGGTTCCAGAAGCAAAAAGGGTAAAAATTCAAAAATCAATAAATCATTAAACATTGGGGAGGACACAAGGAGATGACAAAGCAACAAAACAACAAGAAACCAGCAATGAGGAACTGTAAAGGTGGTGTGTATATGTGGAACAGAACAAAGAATGAGCTAATGAGTTAATATGGAGCAGGTGTAGATAGAACCAACTAGAAGGGAACCAAGGGTAAAGGAAACGGGCACAAGGGGGCAACAGAGAGTAACTCAAAAACAAAACACTTTCAGAAAACAGCACAAAATAAAAACTAAAAATAAACTTAAGCAGAGGGTGGAACCCTGACACTACATCCGGGAGCTAACCTTTTCGACTTTGGATTTAAACATAAATCTAGTCTTTTTGAGTTGTATTATGTTCCTTTGGTGTTAACCTTATGCTACCTAGTGCATAATCTAAAGAAAGAAATAACAAACAAAAAAAAAGAAGATAGACATGGTTTAATCATATGTTGCCGGACTACTCTGAGCATGATGATGTTAGATAAGTAGTTTAATGGAGAAAATATAAAAATCATCGAATTGTCTCAGAAAAACTTTTAAAGATTTGTATTCTTTATAGAATGTTTTATAGATTGTTATCTCATAGATTTTCATTCTTTAATGATTTAAGGATAAAAATAAGTACTTTTGGTACCATGATTACATTATTTATAGCGACCTGGATGAATAACTGTTTGCACATGCGCAAATGAGCCGGTGGTACGGATCGTGCTTCCGGTACGGATCGGGTAGTGACACTGTAGCATAGCTCTCTCAATTTGGATTAGCATATCAAAGCGACAGTCGCAGAAACACCAGCTGCGTCCGCCCACTCTTAACGTTACTTACTGCTGTTTTTGGCTGGACAGAGCTAGCTCTACAGGACCTAGCATACGTCATTTACCTAAAATGCATTGCAGCATAAGTGACATGGAGATGTCTGTCTGAAAACATTTTATTTAAATTTATTAAAGCTCCACAACTCACAGTATTTTTACTGTTTTTACAACTATGTATGGATCCCTTTAAGAGTCTTTGCTACTCTAACTGTAGCGGCTGCTCTCAAGCCGGGCATACACTATGCAATTTTTTCAAACGTTGCACGCAGCTACAGCTCACACTGTACGACAAAAACGCAGGGTTTCATCGTACAGTCTGAATTAACAGCTCACAATATATGTTCTCACACTGTGTGACCCGACGTTCTGATGCGATCTACCTGCTCACATTGTACGTATAAAAACCACGTCGGACTCAGCTCCGCAGTTAGATGGCGCTACTCGGACTCGTCTATCCAGAAGCCAAACCAAAGCCCACTAGAGTAAAACGCGTTGCCTTGGCAATTTGTGCAATTTTGTGCTGAAAGCCCTAAAAAAAAAAAGACGTATTTGGAGAAAGACATGGCTGAGCAAACGTGGCTACTACTGTCTGTCAATTTTACAGAAAGAACTCCATATCACCCGCACCCCTGCCATGCTTCTGTTTTCATCTGAGAAGAAGAAGAGTTCTGTTTGCGCATGCACACTGAGCGATTTGCCCACGACGGTCGACTGAAAATCAAACATGTTTGATTTTCTCCCGACATTACGATTCCTGATTTGGAGGTGGTGGTGAGAGGCTGATCGCCCCTTGTTACCCCCTGTACAATACATGATGCACGACGCATGATCAGGCTGAAAGTCGGGCCGATCGGAAAATGGTTGCACAACTGGAAAGTTGGCTCCAAAAGGGGAAAAAATCACAGAGTGTATGCCTGGCTTTAGTCAAGTGTGTTGTGTTTGCAGCCTCCTAAGCAGGCCATACATTGACAGTTAAGGCTGAAGGGGTAAATCTTTCTAGTACTAGTGTACCTAGGGTATTAAACATACCTTCCAATGCTGTTTTATATGGCCCCTCCCTCCTGGTTTTACTTACTCTCACCTTTCTATTGGCACTTCCACCAGTATGAAGTCAACAGACTGAATGAGGAGGTGAGTGAGGGTTGATGAGGGTACGATGCCGTCCTCTCTATGTGTGTGTGTGTGTGTTTTTTTTCCCCCTGATTGTTGGACTACTAAGGAAGAGGTAGGCTTCACATGACAGGTTATAGCCCTGTGTCCTTGGTGATCATATTTAATGCCCCCTCATGCATCTCCCTCTCCTCGGTTTGCTCTTTTGTGTCAACCTTTCTCTTACTTTACATGAGATGTGTTTGGTTTGTGTGATCCCGTTGGCGAGATCCGACCAGTGTGTTGCAATCCTGTCTTCAAGTTCCTCCGTCTGATGCATTCACAGAAATGCAGTGGTCCATTCACTGAGGCTGAACTGACAATTTTAAGATGCATCATGTTGATTTGGAGAAGGAAGCACATTTCAAACTCATCGAACCCCAGTAGATTTGATGTTTTCAAATGTTTTTGAAAAACATTTTAAAAAGGATCCTGCTGTTTAAAACAACGAAACTGAAAAAAGTGAATTTCATCCAAGGTTTGCTTTTTATTCTACAGACTGAGCTGACTTTCTGTGCCGGTGATGTAATCGCAGTTTTTGGGGAAATAGATGAGGATGGATTTTACTATGTAAGTACTTAACATTATTATTGCTCTAAAAATAAACTAGAAAATTAACATAATTAAAATGACATTTTAAGATGCCAGACTTTTTTTCTACTCGTTCTCATTTATCTTAAATTACTTCCGAAATGATCTCTAAGACTTAGTGTTCCGCAAAAAAAAGATGCTCTTGAGTTGCCCCTGTAGCACTATGTGTGCTGCATTTAAGTATTCAGCCCACTTGAACTTTTCAACCTTTTGCCACATTTCTGGCTATACACATAAAGATATAATATTTTTATTTTTTGTAAAGATTCAACAAGTGGCAGGTAATTATGAAGTGCAACAAATTGATTCATATAATTTACACATGCATCAGTGTAAGGGCTATGTGGGGGATCTCATGGCAATGTCACCCTATATGGCAAAGCCGGCGGCTGCCCATGACGCAAATATCAGAAACCAGCACTGCCTGGAAGTGTGGTTTTCCAACCAGAGCCAGAATAGGGAATGACAGAGCTGTCAATCGTATCATAAACACTTAGATTACCATCACAGGGACTAAGATAGGGATAAATTAAAGGGGTCATAGAATGCAAAACCTAGTGTCATTGTCATAGATGAATAACGATAATTCAGTGGGTGAAATGGACGTACAGAGAAGTTCAAACTCCATCGACACCTCCTTTCTCTGCAAATCTCTCAATTCGAAACCACTATAAAAAAGACGAATTCAAGCACGGAGCCGCCTGTGTCCAGGCTTCCGTCACCGACTCAGGTTCGGTTGCCCCGCCCCACGCTGGCTCGCTGCCACCGTCTGCCGGGGTTCCCGGACCAGACCCAGAGCTGACGGCTTGGTTCGAATGCCCGGTGTGTTTCCATTACGTGCTGCACCGTGGAGTGAGTGAGTGCTTGTTGCTATGATGCATCTTTGCTCAGCAGCGTGGCTCATTGTAAACCAACCAATCAGAGCACAGCTCGTCTAAATATTCATGATCATACCATAAAAGGAAGAAAACCTGTCGTTTCATTCTAGTTCTTTTAATCAGGCTTGCATTAGGGCTCATAGAACAGCAAATATGCCATTTTCAGCCCAACCAATGTTACACACCCTATTCAGAGACATTAAGGACCAGCACTAAATATCCTATACTGTAGCATCATTCTATGACCGCCTTTAAATAAACATGTTATTTAGTGCTGCTTTAAGTTAATGAAATAATTAGTCAACATTTTTCTTTTGCCAGTAAAGCTAAGGGAATTTTTTTTTAAAGCAATTACCACACAAGTTTAATTATGTACATAAAGATCCAGTTCATAGAGTCCTAGCTGAATTTAATGAGCTGTAGCCTTATAAAGGAAACACGGCCCAGAGAAACAAAAAAGTCAAGCATTATTAAAGCCCTTTAAAGTTCATTCATACCCACTGAAACAAAATGTGTTGGTTGTTTCCAGCTGCTACATCAAAAAATAAAAAAAAGGATGGATGGATGTGAAAAGGCTGCAAAAAGCAAACATGGAAATAGACATTTATGATTGAGCAAATACTCATAGCAGTATGCCTGAATCCATATAAGTTAAAACAAAACAAAAAATAAAGCAAAATGTACATGGAATTGGGAACATTGTTATTAAATTGTGAAAAAGTGACTTAAAGGAATGTGAAATAACCTCAGTGAAGCCAAAGTACAATCATCAGTAACAGCTAGAGAATAAGATTTGTTGGACTTTGGATTATTTGGTTATAAGGTTTTAATTTCAGCTGAAGAAAATAGATTTTAGGTTATTAATGATATAAAGCTCCATGTTGGCTAGAAAGAAAGATGCACTGCAAAAACGATCTACAAATAAGGAAAACGGACTTAAATTAAGTGTATTTACCCTTTATCTGATCTGTCAATGGAATGAGCATGTTTACTCTTAGAATAAGATAATTAGATGATATTCACTTGAAATAAGACAATGCAATTGTTTTTTTTCTTATTTAAAATGTAAATTGTCTTGTTCCATTGGCAAAGGTCCTCACTTACCTACTCAGTTAAAGACAAAACACACTTATTTTAAGAAAAAAATGACTTATTTAGACTGAATTTTTTTGCAGGTGGCAGGTTTAATCTCCACAGGTTTTGAAATGTTTAAGTGATTTTTCAGGATAATAATGCATCGTGTTACAAAACATAAATTGATAAAAACCAGATATTTCCAGATTTCAACAGATTTTAAACTTAATGTTGCAACCTAAAAAAAAAAACAGTCCATGGAAACGTCTGATTGATGCGTGAAATTGTTTTCCATGGCTGTAATCTAGTACCCAAAGCAAACTTTATGAAAGCCAGAGGAGCTGCCTAAGATTAATGATCTTAAAACATGCTTTAACAGTTTCACAATGGTTTTACGTCTGTAGCTCAACATTTCAGCAGTCCAAGATTTGCCTTTTTTTATTTTCTTGTTTTCCCACAAAGCAAAATAATTTACTAAATACACTGCAAAAACAATCTAGAAATAAGTTGAAAAAAATCTTGAATTTTGTGTTTTTATCCTTAATTGTAGCAGGTAAATAAGATGATTTGCCAATGGAATGAATAATTTTACTCTTAAGATAAGTAAATTAGATAATATGCACCTGAAAAAAGACAATAAAATTGTTTTTTTTTATTTAAAATGTAAATTGTCTTGTTCCATTGGCAAAGTGCCTCACTTACCTACTCAGTTAAAGACAAAACACACTTATTTTAAGAAAAAAAATGACTTATTTAGACAATTTTTTGTAGGTGGCAGGTTTAATCTCCACAGGTTGTGAAATGTTTAAGTGATTTTTCAGGATAATAATGATTGGGTGATAAAACCAGATATTTCCAGATTTCAACAGATTTTAAACTTTATGTTGCAACCTAAAAAAAAACAGTCCATGGAAAAGACTGATTGATACATGAAATTGTTTTCCATGGCTGTAATGTATTACCCAAAGCAAACATTTATGAAAGCCAGAGGAACTGCCTAAGATTAATGATCTGAAAACATGCTTTAACATTTTCACAATGGTTTTACATATGTAGCTCAACATTTCAGCAGTCCAAGATTTGTCTTTTTTTATTTTCTTGTTTTCCCACAAAGCAAAAATAATTTACTAAATACACTGCAAAAAACAATCTAGGAATAAGTAAAAAAAAAAATCTTCAATTTTGTGTTTTTATCCTTAATTGGAGCAGGTAAATAAAATGATTTGCCAATGGAATGAATAATTTTACTCTTAAAATAATAATATGCACCTGAAAAAAACAATACAATAGTTTTTGTCTTATTTTAAATATAAATTGTCTTGTTCCATTAGCAAATGTTCTCATTTACCTCCTCACTTGAAGAAAAAAATGCATAAGAAAAAATGACTTATTGAGATTTCGATTTTTGTAGTGTGTTCTCCAAGAGCTGAGAGTCCATATTTTTAGTGGTTCAACATAAATCCATATCATCTTTAAGCTCCTTTAAATCTTAAATCACAATATAAATATTGCACAATTAGAACAAAAATTAGTCTGAGTAAAATTCTGTCTCCTGCAAAAAAGTTGAGCAGAAACCGCTCCTTTAGAGGATAACACTTGAACACTTGAAAAAAAAGACGTTTTTCTTTTTCGGTGTAAGGTAGGCAGCATTTAAGCACAGCATCAGCTGCGAATGGATCTAACGGTTGTCGTGTGCTCCGCAGGGCGAGCTCAATGGACACAAGGGGCTTGTACCTTCCAACTTTCTAGAAGAAGTGCCTGATGATGTAGACGTTTTTCTCACTGATTCCCCATCTCGGTATCCCCAGGACACTCCAGCCAGGATAAAGACCAAAAGGGTACATGCTCCTTCGCAGTACTAGCCCTCTCATCCATTTACTTTTTTTCTCTTCCCTCTATCTCCTTTAGTTTCATGTCTGTGAGTGTGTGTCTCTCATTGGTTCAAAGGGATTTCTGACTTCAGAGAATTATACTGTAAATAAATAGATGTTTAAGATGTATAATAAAAAAAGACTAATATTCCAGAGATACCTTTATTTTTCATGTTTACTACTGTGAAAAGGGGAAGGTTGTGCAATGTATAATAAATGGACATACTGTATTCATAAAGCATTCTCAGAGAGAGTGAACCGAACAGGCACACACTTCTGTGACTTTTTACCCCGCTTCTCGGAAAAACAACAGTTACCACTTTTTGCACATGACCATGTAACATTCTAACAGATGCTTTATGAATATATTCTGTGTTTGACCTGGTTTATTGAAATAGTTTTGTTGTTCCCAGAGAAGAACTATGTAGTCTGTAGCTCAGCATGGTATATAGTCCAGATGCATGACCCCTTGAACATTTTATATATTAAAAAAAAAAGATTTCAGCTCTAGAATAGTACAACTTTTGTATCTACTCCTGAATGCCTTGTTTTGTAAATTGCTTTTCTTGTAAAGTAGCAAACAAAGGTCACTTAGCTTATGTTACCATCAGAGAATAATTTCAGAGGTAATGTTTTACAAAGTGTAAATTTGTGATGTTAATTTTGTGTTTAACAGACGATGCAACTGTTGAAATATTTATAGGTGTCATTAGATACTTCTTTCATATGTTGTACTTTGCCATTTTTGTAGTGCTAACAAATAAAATGCCATCACCATATTTTTTTTTATTTCTTTTCCTCACCTGCTTGGCAAAACAGAAGAAGAGTGTTCATTTCACACCTTAAAGGCTCTGTTTCCGTCACGTAAGTGAGCAACTGAGGATACCAAATGACTGTCTCCTCGT